TGGCTTCATTGACTTTACTGTTTTTCTTTTCTCTATTTTGTTTATCTCTGCTCTAATATTGATGTCTATTCCTCTGCTAGTTTTGGATGTGTTTTTCTTTTTCCAGTTCTTTAAGGTAAGTTAGGATATTTATTTAAGATCTTTCCTCTTTTTCAATACAGTCATTTCCAGCTACAAACCCCGTCTGAACACTGCTTTTTCTGTATCTCAAATTTTGGAATGTAGTATATTTGTTTTCATTAGTCTTAGAGTGTTTTCTAATTTCCCTTGTGACTTCTTCTGTGACCCATTAGTTGTTTATATTATTTTCCACATACTTGTTTTCCAATTTATTATAGATTTTAATTTATAAATTCATAAGATTTACAATCAGTGTATTATGCATTCATCTTTTAAATTTTATGAGACGTTACAAAAAATAAAATAATGCTGTATTTTATATTTAATCTATGCAGTCCTTTACTAATATTTTTCATTTCTTTGAATGGCTCTGAGTTACTATCTAGTGCCCCTTCAGCTCGAAGGACTCTCTTTAGCATGTTTTATATGGTAGGTCTGTAAAGAACAGAATCTTTTATCTGGAGAGGTACTACTTTATCCTTCATTGTAAGAGGATAACTTTGCCAGGTACAGAATTCTTGGCCTTCTTTCCACATTCTAAAATACCTTTCTGCCTCCGTGGCCTCTAATGAGCAAGTGGCTGTTAATCTTACTGATAATTTCTTCTACATGTTGTCATGTCTCTCTTGCTTTCAGGATTCTTGATCTTTTGACAGTTTGATTTTAATGTGTGCTGGTATGGATCTCTTTGAGTTTATATACTACTTGGAATTTGTTGAACTTCTTGGTTATTGGATTCATGTCTTTTTTCAGATTTGTTAAGTTTCAACATTATTTCTTCAAATACTCTTTTCTGTCGTCTTTTCTCTCTTCCAGGACTCCTGTTATTCACATTTGATATCTTTCATGGTATCTAACAGGTATTTTAGTCTCCGTTCATTTTTCTCCTCCTCAGACTGGATCATTTCAGCAACTGACCTAGCTTCAACCTCACTGATTGTTTCTTCTGCCTATTCTGCTGTCAAGCCTCTCTAGTGACTTTTCCAATTACTACTATATTATTGATTATTGTAATTTCAATTGATTCATTTTAAAATTACTACTGATCATATTATTCAACATCAGATTTTATATTTGACGCCTTTTTATAATTTTTATCTCTTTATATTCTTTATTTAATGATATGTCATTCTCTGTGTTTCCTTTAGTTCTTTGCCCATGGTTTCTGTTAGCTCTTTGAGTACGTTGAAGACATTAATGTCCTTGTTCAGCAAGTCCGATGCCTGTGTTTCCTCAAGGACAGTTTCTTTTACATCTCTGTGAATAAGACTTTCTTGTCGCTTTTTTTGCCTCACTTTTTTAACTGTTATAAACTGGATATCCTAAATATTATAATATGGCAACTCTGGAAACTAGATTCTGCCCCAAGTTTTGTTATCATGACTTGTTGTGTAGTAGTGGTTTAGTGACTTTTCTAAATTGTTTATCACGTGTGGTCTGTGTAACATTTAATCCATTAGATTAGCGGTCACTCAGTAGTTTGAAAGAACTTTCCTCAAATGCCTGGAGAAAAAAAAAAGAAAGAGAAAATACTCTCCCTAAAATAGACTCTGTTTTATTCTTCACTTCCTGTTTGGTCTGGGTATAAATATGACTATCAGCAAGCGGTGAAAGCTTAGAATCTTCTCAGGACTTTTCTGAACATGGATCGTGCTCTGGGTATGTATATAACCTTATAGAGTCCCTGGAATATGTGGGATCCTTTCCGAGTCCTTATTCTCCAAGTTATCTCACTCTCAGCTTTCCCTTCCAGGCTTTCATTGTGTCTATTTGTCCCAACTGCAATCTTTCTCCAGACAGCAGAGGCTTGTTCATTTATTTTCAATGCTTTCAAGAAATCATTCTCCGCACAGCCACTTTTTCACCTGGAGAGACTTCTGAATTACATGAACCATAGGCAAGCTCCTAGATAGGTCAAAACGAATACCATTTCTTAAGAAGTAGGTCTATTCTGTTCCCTCCAAAGCTAGGAACCCACACAAGGAATGCAGGCTGCAGTCTTTGAAGACCATTCCTGACTTGGGAGCAAAGAGAGAGAATTAAGTTAAAATGCCATTAAGCTATCCAACTGAGTTTCAGTTGCCTTTTTAATTTAAGCATTGTCTTGGTTTAAGCTTTTGTGTGGAAAACCTTTTTTTTTTAACCAGATTTCTGATAAACTGGACTCTGACAGGCTCTTTTCCCCAGTTTTCCTAAGGATGGGTATGTCCCTGGAGTTTCTTACTCTGTCATTTTACTAACATATATGCATAATTTTTAATGGAAATAGACATATTAACATTTTGGTAAATGTGACATGATTTTCCTATTATGGCCTCAAGGTGAGATGCTTTGTTAAAACTTTGTATAATACATGGACCCTTGGTATATGACATAAATATATGCATATATTTCATACATAAGGAATATGGAAAATTCATAAATGATAGATGCTCATGAATTATATCAAGGAATTTAGGAGCTAATGAATGCATATTTGTACCATTTTGAATGTGACCAGCTACAATGCTCATCCTTTTCCTATTATTATAGAAAACATTATTACATATATCACTAGCCTGATCCAATACAGCATATTGCTGGAGTATGAAGAGGACCCTGTTTTACTATTTTAAACTTAATGAGCACTGTGGACTCTAATAATATTTAGTCTTCAAGGCTCAATTCAAATATTTCATTCCTAGATGTTCTGGCTAATGTGTTTACCCCCAAGACCAGTCCTTTTTAAAACACAATGTTTAACATCATTGGTTGAAAAATAACAGTATATCATGCCTTATTTAGAATAACCACTCCCTTCACATACCCTTAGGGAGGTTTCTCATGATAGCAAGAAAGGGAATACTTGTCAAACTCCATGGTTACAGCAACATCTAATCTCCCCAAATCACTGTGTCTGCTGAATTGTAACTGACAAGGGATATTACTTCAGGTGTAAAAGAAAATTATGGTAAGCACAAAATGCTACTGGGCTTACTCATGTGAATATCTTATGCCAGGGACAGTATGTTGAGCAAAATGCAACAAGTTATCAATCAGACGTTATTAAAAATGGAACTCTTTTAGATGGAATTTTATAAGGATTTTTTTCTCCACTGTAGTAGAAAAATAATTGTTAATCATACAATCACATTTTTTGACAGTTTTGAACAGAGTGAATCTGGTTAAAAAGTGAAACTGGAGGATATAACATATCAGATACAAATCAATTATTCAATTCTCACAGTTTAGGAAAGGTAAATGTATCATATATTATGTATGTAATTTTCCTCATGCTACATTCTGTAAGGAAACTATGTTTGAGCCATCTTTGCAATTTTGCATATAGCATTTTGCAGTCAGTAATGACTTACCTTGAGGCAGCCTATTTTGCCCTAGAATCACTTCCCTAATCCAACAGTTGTCTATAAAGAAGCCACAGGTTTTTAAACCATGAAATTCTGAAAAAAATACTGTTTTATCATTGGACTTATTTTAAATGCTCAGAGGAAATTACAACATATGGGCTAGAAAACCATCACTAATATGGTATAGGAAAGTACTCCTTAATTATAGTGTCTGAGAATGACCTGACTTTGATATGACTAAAAGCTTTACAGTGAGATTAGAGATAATTTGTAATATCATTTCATCAGCTGCATATTAACAGATAATTTTGAGATTTAAGGATTCAAGTAAAAGTAATTATAATTAAATTTTTACTACTTGTAAAATTTGACCTGAGATTCTCTGTGTAATCCCTGAAGTTTTGAGTAAAATGTAAAAAGTCTGCAATGGATTAAGAATTACAAGTCAGGTTCTGCCTAGGGTTAGGCAGTGAACAAATGATTATCTTCATCTATTGCTTTTCCATAAATGTCATTCCATAACTGAATTTATTCATCTAAGTACACAAACTAGGAAAATTAATGTTATTTTTAGTAACAGATTTGGGAGTATGATTAAAACTTAAAAGTATTATGTAATTTTCACTGAATATTATGTTTTGAAAAGATAGCATTCATCCTGCTAGCACACACATTGCCCTGGGATACAACTTGATAAACCTGCCTCAGGAGGTTTTTATATTTCCCATTCTTCATTGAAATGCATAGATTTAAAAAAGTAAACTCAGTGGATGTATACCTGTTTCCTGTTTGAGGCTATATAGCTGGAACTCCCAATGAAATCAATTCTCCATGGTCTATTATTCAAATCTTAATGATAATTAGATAATAAAACTTAGAAAAAACACCTACTGAGCCGACAGAAGAACTGCTTTTCTAAACCCATAATTTGTAACTCCGCAGAATATAAAACTCCATGTTTGAGAATTTGAAAGCCTTGTTATAAACTTTTATTTATGTTTGGCTTTCAGCTTCCATTATTTCTCTAAGTCAGATAAAATTTACACTCTAATTTACAAGGTTGTTGTGAGGAAGAAGTACCATGATGTATATGAAAGTGCCTTTTATAAACTAAAACAGGCTACAAAACATAATAGTAAATTACACTCTGTATTTGTTACCAAGAAAGCTTCCTTGAATCATTCACTAATCCTAGGATAACCTATTATCTGGATTCAAGTAATGAGGCTTTGATGGGAAGCTGGTTCCATAAAACACAAAAGGAAAATGGATATAGTGGGTTATGTTTGCTGTTATTCATAAATCAGGATTCCCGGATGACATCTAAAGTTTCAGGAATAACTCCTAGTTGTGGTATGTTTCTTTCACTGTCTGATGCCTTTGAAGCACATTGATTTAGTGCATGTTTACTTTAGATTTAGATCTCAAAAAGAAGCTGTATTCCTTGGTTAGGCATCCAAATTGTAGGTACCATTCATCCAGTTCCCTGTCCTATACACCTTTATCTAGTTACGATGAATAAGAACAAAACACTATTCGTAACAGTGCAAGTACTTTATAACTGAAGCTGCAGTAAGTTTAATTTTCAGTACATGACATATTTTCATGCATTTGCTTTATCCCTGTACAATACTAAGAATCTTTAACATACATTTTGTAGCTTTTCTTTACTAACATTGTATTCCTTTACTAATGAGTAAACAGTTCTAAAACATGAATTCATAATTACAATGTCATTTATTTCAATCCTGTGGCACATACTATGATAGGCTTGAAAAAAAAAAAACACTTTGATATTTCCTCTGTAGGTTACTACATGTTACCATTCATTTCTATAAATTAAATTTACTAGGAAAACCCACAGTTTAAAAAACATACACAAGAATAAGCTAGTGATCACAATCAACAAATGAATGAATTCAAAATAGTATAAAGTCAGGAACAGTTTATCTTCATGGTAAACATTCACTTTATGCAAATCCCACTTGGCTTCATTTAATTAAAAAGCTGAAAAAGAAAGAAAATTATTATGTGCTGAACATTAAAAAAAATATGCTTTTTATTCCAAATTAGTACATGTAAATATAACATTAAAATGTCATAATTGTATTAATTCAACTAATTGTAATTGTTACATCAGGGCAATTTTTCTAAAGTAGTACCTTTAACCAGATCAGGCTTAGGGTGGGAATAGAGTCAGGGGTGAGAGAAGATGCTGAAAACTTGAATTTGTGGTTTCAATTTACATAAACATTCCTCTCACTGCTGCCTAGAGCAATAGTTAAATCAGCATTTAAAATGGTAATGTAGGGGAAATAGAAGGGAATGGACTGAAACAAATGTGTGAAGTGGGTCATTTGACTGTCCTAAACATATTTTTTCTCATTAAATGTAAAATTTACTTACATAAAATAATTATTAATCACTTGGTCTTTGTTAATGTAATTTACAATCTCATTATATCAAACAACCAAAAAGAGTATACATAAATAATAAAACTTCTGATGAAACATCAGCAGAGATAATTGAAAATAAAAAAAAGATAGCTATTAGTTTTTTAAACTTCCCTAAGCAAAGCTTTAATTTATGAAACAAAATTTAATTTTGTAAGATGGTGAATCAATTTAAATAACATTTATGAAACTTTTGTTTATATCTGTACCTTTCTGCTGACACGTGTCATGTTCTTTTTGAGTCTTGACAACACAAGACAACTTTGCAAGGCAACCAGAGACAAACCAATTTCATTTTAAAAAGTTACAATATAAATATAATGCAAAAATGCAATTAATAGTTCCTGTAGTGTTTAAAAAAAAAAACAAAAGAAAACATGTAGCTGGAAAAATGTCCAAACTAGGTAAGTTTTATATCTGGATGTTTAAATTATAATATCCTAGGCATAAATTGTTTTGTCTTTCTGAACCTCGGTTTCCTCATTAGTGAAAAGAACGTTTGTTTTGGATGACTCCCAAGTTCTTTTCAGTGCTAATATTTTATGATTCTGGTGATACTATGTGCAAGAATAAATATATATTTTAAAATATAACATATTTTATAAAATATAAAATATTTATATATAATATATATTTAAATTATATAATATACAGTGTATATTATATAACATCAATTAAAATGTACAGGAAGTCACAGTACAGTACAGAATAATTACTCTTGTTATTCGATTTCTGAGAAATTGTTAAAGAAGAAGATAAAAATTATGTGATGATATCAGGATGCAATCAGACATTGCTTTTACTTAAAAAAAAAAAAAGTAATGAATAAAGTGTACTATAAGGATGACCATCTCCATGAAGAAGAATGTCAGCAATAAACCTCATCAGGGCATTAAACTGTAGTTGTGGTTCCATCTACGATCATTAAAAACACTGCTGGCAAAGCAGATGTGTCAGTTGTAGATAAACTTGCTCTGAAGATGAAGCTAACTGAAGAATGAGGGTTAATACAAAAAGAAATCTAATCATAAACTGAAACTTAAAACTAGGGATTTGTAGCTTTTTGTTGTTTTGTTTTTAATGGACTGATCTGCAAATTTTAAGTTACGGAGCACTAATCTTTATTATTGTTAAAAATAATACCCCTCTAAAAGCAAAAGTACTAATTTGATGCATAATGGTGATTGTGTATCTTCTAACTTTTTAGGAGTTCTATATTTAGGTACATTAAGAGTAAAAGGATCTTTGTGAGTACGTTCTTAATCTGTAGTTATTATGGTACTGTTTTTCTCTTTTTATGGTTTTCAAAACTGAAATAGTAATTTTCTTGAAAGCTGTTATAACAATCACTTGTCTGTCATGAAATGACAAATACATATTTAATCTGAAACTAATTGTCCAACAATAAAGGATACATCTAACAGGCAGAACAATTCCTATGCTTTTATTTTCAAAACTGTCATTTTCATTTTAAAAAGCTACAAATTTTTTTATTTGTTCAAGACACTAGAAACACTTGAAGCACAAAAATATTTTGCTGGTTAAAATGTTTCTGAGAAAAGTACGAACTGTTATTCTCTATTCAATCAGTATTTCAGATTTCACTTTTACTTTCATTATATAAATAGTAAATGTCCAAGGTACGTTCTAGTATGTTTTGTATTGATATTTTCACTCAAGGAATTAAGTCTCTTATTTCTAATGAATAGGATCTTACATGCAGTTTTTCCCTTTTCACATTGATCTAATAATTTGGATGTATAATCTAATAGTATAACAGTTCTTATAGATTAATGGTTCAATAGTGCTTATTGGTTTTTTCTAATAATGCTTATAACAAAAATGTGTAATTGCCTTTGTATCATACAAAGAAAACTGTCAAGAATACTGAAAACTGAATTTGCTCCCCTTAATTGTGCTTTGCAGTTATGTGGTCTGCTTCCACAATGAGTAAGAAGCAGCCTTGGGTACCATCTTCAGCTTCTGTGTGGACTCTGCTCCACTCTGCCATAAATGAATTGCACTGTAGTTACTAATAGTGATGGTATGCATATGCAAAGCACTGATTGCTGTGACTGGCTTATTCTGAAGTGAATATATGCATGGTCAAGTGTAAGTCAGGTAGTAATACAAGATGGAAGCTAATTGGCAACAGTAGCAAATTGTACAAGGGGATAAGATAGAAGGCTAGGACTAGCACAAATGTGCCCCGAGACCTCCCACTTCCTCTAACCTAAGGGAAATAGCCATTCCCTTCTAGTCCATGTCACTTTATTGTTGCTTAAAGTCCATCAGGGATGCAGAGGGACTCTACACAAAAAAATCATGATTTAGAGTAAAATGCTGTCTTTGATTTTCTGAGGAGAAATAATCCATAGGTTCGTTAGCAAGTTTATTATTTGAAATTCAGAATGTTTTACTAGAGAAACATGAATCAAAGTGTTAGCTATTTTCTCAAACTAAAGGCCCCCAAACATCTGTTTCAATCACCATTTAACAACTATTGTGTACTAGAATAGAAGCATGTTGCAAAAAACGGAATGAATGAAAGTCATGGTCGTTATGTTTCTTTTAGCTAAAGGAGAGAAAGACCTGGGTATGATTAAGCACAATATAGTGACAGATCTGATATGATGACAAGTTCCTGGCGTTAGGAGAATTGAAAAACAAACAAGATGAAGGGACCGCAGCCTAGAATAAAGTTGGATGAAGAAAGGTATCCAAGTATGAGAACACATTTAGTGCTGTATTCAGCATGGCTAAACCAGGCATTAGCACATTTTCTGTAAAAAGCCAGAAGGTAAATATTTTAAACTTTGTGGGCCATGGGTCTTTGTTGAAAACATTCAACTGAACTGTTGTAGTGCAAAAGCAGTCATAGACAACACATAAAAACAAGCCTGGCTGCGTTTAAATGAAACGTTATTCATAGGCACTGAAATTTGAATTTCATAATTTTCATTTCACAAGATATTCTTTGTTGACTTCCCACCCCTCAGTGATTTACAACTGTAAAAGCCATTCTCAGTTTGGAGGATACACTTAAACAGGCAGCAGTTACTGAGTTTTGTATTAAACCATAGGGTATACTGAAGGCTGTACCATAAAAAGCTAGATGGCACAAAACTTAAAATAGTTGTGGCAATTCATACAATGATATTCCTATATAGCTAATAAAATCATATATGTTGTAGAATGTAGTTAATTGCATTGAAATATGCTGATGAGGTATAAAACAAAAACAAGCAGCTTATAAAATATGTATTGCATCATTCCCGAGGTTCAAATTATATACAGGCTAAACTGATGACATTTGATGACCTGGATGTTGGGCTTTATTAATATATTTTATTTTCTTCATTTTGCTAATCTGTATCTTCTAGAAGGAACATGTATTAACTTTCCCCTCCCTTTTTATTAGATATTAGTGGATTTTAATGAAGAAGCAACATAATCAGTACCTATCTTAAAATAATTCTGACATTACTTTACAATAAGTGATGAATTATGGGGTATAATGGCTAGATATTGGGAGATAATTTAAGAGGCTAGTTAATAGTCAGAAAAAGACACAATGTAATTAAGACAGCAATTGCGGGAAGAGAAAAGTAATGTAGACCAAATAACAAAAGAGGATGAACATGTGGGATGAGGACAAAATGACTCCAAGATTTTCATCTTGTATGACTATGAGAATGACAGTGTCTTAGGGAAAATGGGGAAAAGGAGTGGAGAAAGATTCAAAGGCAGATGATACTGATTTTGAATGTATTGAGGTGAACTGCTAATGTGGTATTCAGATCTGGTTCTGGATCTCAGGAGAAGGGTCAGGACTTGTTATGTATATTTGAGACTGAGAAATCATCTAAAAGAAAAAAGGAGGGTGTAAGAATGCCATATTACAAAATCCGGGGTATAAAGTTTCCAGCAGGGGCTTGTCAAATAAAGCGCTAGAAGGGTCACCTGAAGAAAACTTTGGATTTGGTCACTGGTTGTTACTGGAGACAGAGGATATATCAAAAGCTTGTTTGTTCCTTTTCCCTTCCTGTGAAATAACTGAACAGGTACCAAATAATGGCTTGCTGTTTGCTTTGGTTTTTTGTTTATCTTGAATTAACGACTCCATCTGTTTCTCATATTTGGAAAAACCAGAATGTACATAGTGTTCCTGAACAAATGTATTCTGTCCAACTGGGAGTTTGGTTAACTTCTCTGAGATCCTCGGCTCGATAGACTTCTTGTGCACTGCTCTTCCTGTTCTCAAACTGGGGAGGAAGTCAGGGAGACCCAGTGGCTACATAATGGCATCTGTCTTGGGGAAATCACTTAGGTGGCTAAGGGGCCAGCTCCTCAGATTTCATCTGGCATCCAAAAAAGGTGCAGAAGGGAAAAAAGGCCTGGGTTGTTCAGTAAGCAGATAGGCCAGTGGCTGAATGTTCATTCCTGTTCCATTGACCTTGCGTATAGTACAACTCACTGAGTCATTCTTTTTAATCCTTACTCTACGTTCACACATGTTCTATGGGAATGCTAGAGAGAAGTACATTGTGGCCCTTAGCCAGACCATTTTCGCAAAAGTCCTGGGGCTCTCTTCTCTGTAATAGAAGATTACTAAACCCAGAAACGTCTGAGTCTGAAACAAGTGGTCTTCCAGAAAGGCCTGAAGAAATCTAGGCCTGTATTGACAGGAGGAAAATATCTTTCGGAACGGAAGCTTTCTTTATCTGTCATTTCATGGGGCAATCGCTGTCCGATCTCCTAGTGCTGAGGCCAGTTCTCTACACAGCCTGCACAGAGAGACCTAATCATAGTATTAACCACATGTAACAATTAGGAATCACCAGAAGCACGGATAGTCAGTGGGCGGGGGGGGGGGGTGCGGAAAGAACAACAAAACTAGAATGTAGGGGATAAGCAACAGGTGAAGAGCAACTTCAGAACTCGGCTGGAACACAGGAGCTTCCCACTCCTTCCCTACTTTCAGTGGGGTGCTGAATGGTGTGGAGTTTCTGCCAGAGTTAAGAAAGTTGTCTTGTCTCTAGGGCTGCTTTTGAGGTGTGTGTTAGCCTAGACCCTGTGGTCTCTGGGCTTGAAGGGGTGGAATGTGCAATGCAGAATCAAAAAACTGAATTGTGAATTTTCTGCAAAAACATATAGAAGTACGTACTATTTCTGAATTTAACAAATGCTGATTTTTAAAAAAATTTTCAGTAAGTTAAGTGTTTGGCAGACTTGTACTTTTTATTAACTTTGAATATTAAGGCTTATATTATTTGTTAATGGGGAAAAAAGGTTTGGCTATACTCTTCCTAAGCAGAACTAAATACACTTGTTGACTGCTTTTTTTCCCTAAGTGATAATAAACAGAAGTTAAGAAAATATATTTTGTTTGGGGTGGAAGGATGGCATCTGTCAAACGATTAACTCCACGTGTCAGTCTTTTGGTAGAAATTTAAGTCTGAGGACTTTTCCCTGTAGCAGATAAATATAATAATGTAGAACTGGAATACAGAATCCCACAGTTAAGTTATGTTACATTTGTAAAACAGTAATTTACTATAACTTGTCTTACTCATGAGATAAATGTTATAGTCTTTATATTTGAAAAAATGAGGAAAACTGAGGCTCAGAGAAGATTAAAAGACTTGCCTGAGGTTATAGAGTTTTTAAGTGCCATGGTCCAAATCACATCTTCTCACTCAAAGTCCAGATCACTTTCCAATACACCACAATGAAATACAACAATATGGAAAAAATAATCCTTAAGATTGAATTTCCATTTGTACAATATTATTACAAGATTTAGCACTACATTCTTTATCTAGATTAGATAGGGGATAGACAATGGTGCCTTTACAGAAAGTCAGGTTTTCTCTGAATCATCTCTAAATCCTTTGACCTTTTATAAGTCATTCTACAAAGCTAGGACTCAGCATGAGAAAGGTTAATGCCAGTGAAATTCTCATCAATGATATGTACTATGGGCTGATCATCACACCATTTACATAATATTTTTCTATTTGTACAGCTGAAGGTTAAGATGTACAAATGAATGCAATATTGCTATACGCTCTACATGCTGGAATTTTTGCCTTGCTGTGCTTGTTCACCATAATACTTACCTCAAAATTGATATGAATGCCTTTCATTTTTAGCTGTTATTCTGTATGTTTCCTTATTGAATATCCTTCCATTTTTGTTGTTCGTCTCAAGATACCCAAGGACGGTAGGAAGTATCAGTTTCTTTTTAAGATAATGGAAGACACGTTGTGTCCACTATAAGCCTAATTTATATATTGTTTTTCACTCGATATCACACAGCTCAGAATTGGGACTGCAATACCTCTTTTTTAAAAACAATTTTTTTTTTAGAGACAGGGTCTTACTCTCCTGCACAGGCTGGAGTGCAGTGGCACAATCATAGCTCACTTTCAGCCTTGAACTCCTGAGTTCAAGTGATCTTTCTGCCACAGCTTCCCCAGTACCTGGAACTACAGGTGTGTGCCACCATGACAGGCTACGTTTTTAAATTATTTGTAGAAACATCATCTTGCTATGTTACTCAGACTGGTCTCAAATTATTGGCCTCTAGCAATCCTCCTGCCTCAGCCTCCCAAAATGCTAGGTATGAGGCCTGAGGTACTATGCCTAGCCACAATAGTTATCTTTCTTTAGTGCTCAAGTTTGAAAAATAACTTTTTCCACAGATCTTCAGTTGTGAAGAACAATCTGACAACTCCAGGGGGTGTCATTCACTATGAACTGCATCTTCTGGAGCTGTGGCAAGCCAGTCATCTTCATCCTATTTCTATTTTAATGGTTCCATTTGCATTTAATGGAAGTAGACAAGGAATAGTTTTGAAGTAAACAGATTCAACTAACAAGTATATGATGAGCACCTACTATGTGCATAGCACTTTGGAGACATATAAAAGGTATTTATCAAAGACACAAATACCTTGTAATAGTCTAGAAGAAAAAAAGACATATGAAACAACTGCACATGAGTAATTAATGAAAAACATAATGCAGTAAAGTACTACTGAATAATCAATTGCTAAAGTGGCTAGTCTAGGTGAAGAGAGAGGTAAAAGTGAGTACTTTACTGAGAACCTACTATATTTCAGGGGCTACAAATTGATTATAACTTATCTTCATAAAATTCTGAGGTATGTTTTATCATATCAAGTTTTCAAATTAAGAAACATGCTTAACCAAGTTAAATATATTGGCAAAAGATAAGAGAAGTAACTAGAGTTGTGGAAAAACGAGACTTAGAAGTAATTAACTTTAAGCCGCAAAGTTAGTTGAGAAGAACCAAGATGCTAACCTAGGTTTGTTTAAATGCAGAGCTAGAACTCTAGCGAATACACAGAATTAACCCCCAAACTTGAACTCGGGTCTTCTCCTAATTACTGTTATTTTTTCATTATATCATACTACTTGCCGAAGACACAGTCTAATGAACTTCAGTTAGGAAGCAAAGTGATAGAATTACTAGAAATGTCTGTTGTTATTTTCCTACAAAAGCTGAGACTTGATGTGCCTTAGATGTTTTTATACACATCTTCTAAAGAAAACTTTTGTGAGTAGAGTGGCAGTGAAAAACACTGATAAGGTAGTTACCCATAGAGGAAGAATATCATGTTCCTGCTAGCACTTTCCTCTCCTTAGAAAATGGCGCTAGCGGCGAGGCGCGGTGGCTCACGCCTGTAATCCCAGCACTTTGGGAGGTGGAGGCGGGGGGATCACAAGGTCAAGAGATCGAGACCATCCTGGCCAATATGGTGAAACCCCGTCTCTAATTAAAAATACAAAATAAATTAGCTGGGCGTGGTGGCGCACACCTGTAGTTCCAGCTACTCAGGAGGCTGAGGCAGCAGAATTGCTTGAATCCGGGAAGCGGTGGTTGCAGTGAGCCGAGGTCGCACTACTGCACTCCAGCCTGGCACCTGGTGACAGAGTGAGACTCTGTCTCAGGGGGGAAAAAAAAAAAAAAAACGGGGCTAGCACTAAAGTTAATGTTTATGTAATATATAAATTCAGTGCTACTACTGAAATAATATTTCCTCTTTTCTGAACTATGGCTCAGATGGTAATTAGATCAAATTCATAATAACCCTGCTATTTCACTGACTATTTCAAGAGACTCAGGAGCCCCATTAAACTCAACAAAAGGATCAGGGAAAATCTTTTTTCATTCAACTGAATCATGCAAATATAAGATAAAGCTACTTAATCTTTAGCACAAAGAAAAACTTTGTAGCAAAACAAAATAAAAAAATAAAAATAAAATTCTGATATAAATATTTAATGAATTTAAATATTTATATCAGAATTAATGATAATTAGCATCAAACATTTACTGCAATGTAATAAGTGATTTATAAGCATTCTCTCATGTAATCTTTGTAACAGTTGAATGACATATGAAAAATCATCTCCATTTATAAATGAGAAAACTTAGGTTTTCAAAAGTTGAGTAACTTGCCCAAGGTCACACAGGTAGTTACAAGCAGACTGTGCATTCCAGTAAGGGAAGTCTGCTTATTAAATTTAAAAGACAATATGAGATAATTTAGTAATGGCATGAAACAGATTCATACTGTATATTATTAACAGTCAACCTTATAGAAGATTTAAGAATACTGGAAAAATACTTAAAGTCAATGTTTATACCTTTAGCAAGTACATATATCAATAAAGAAAATAAAAATTTTGAAAACAAGATGAAGTTCTGAAAATATATGACAAAGGGCATAGATGTTCAAGGTTTTGTGAGGTTTAAGATTAAAAATGAATAAACACAACAGGATCACTTGATGTAGAAGAAATTAAGGGTTGTATTTTAAATAAAATTCAAAATTGTGAGGAGAGAATGTAAAAAAATTAAACATAATTATCGATACAGTCCTGTGTATCAGTGGTACAACAGTTTATAATTCACAAAAATTCAAAATGAAGACATCGAGGGCCAAAAGGTGGTGGCATAACACCCAAGCAAGTCTGCTGGCACTGAAGCCTAAAGCCCATTAGTAAAGGTGATCTTCTTACAAAATAAAATGGTAGAAGGTGTTATGTTCAATGTGCATTTTCACTAAAGGATAACTCAAGAGTCTTATCCCAAGTACAGATATGATCTAAAGTAGAAGTGGGAAGCTTCCCAAGAGCTATGTACTGAAGAATGTACATCTGTACTTGCAGCTGATCTCTGCAACATGTATTCATGTTAAGATTGGGAAAGTCAAGGATACGGTCTTGGTTGAGAAACAATTTTTTTCCTCTTGTCAGCCTACTTCAGTGCATTTCTGTCTTACATGGCTGAAGTAGTTCAGCTCTTGGTCCTTAGAGTTTATGACTGACTATTGTACAGCCTTATGTTCTTAGAAAATGGATATCTACAGATGTCTTAGCAGAAGTACTCAAGGTCAGGAAATACCTTCTAGAATATGTTTTGGGGTTTTCCTCCTCCTAGAATGATTCTTTCCTGCATCTCATTCTTTCATTTTCTAGACACTGCCTGTAGGTGATGTGAGCAGTTTTTAAAACATGTCATATAATGCTGGTTCCACAGGTAAATGGTTCCAGGAATACAAAAGTATTCTTTAACAATGCGGTGCTATGTTCATCACAGGATAACTCTTCTTCATCAGCATCTCACCTGTCAACTAGTCTCAGAATTATTTCTTCTTCTCCTTCATTTGTTTCCTCTTTGACACTTGCTTTTGCCATCACTGTTGGTCTTTCTTTAACTAATTGAATATATACGTATATTTGCTTTTTCTGTACTGTTAGGTTTTGGGAATTTAGCTCAGGATGTGTCCAAATCTCTGGTATATACTCTCTGCAGTCTTTTAGGAACACTTGCTCTTGATATTTCTCAGACAATTATCCTAATCATTCACAAGTGAGTTGTTAAAATAACTGAGAAGACAACAAAACTTACTTAAAAGGAAAATAATGCAATGGAATTTAAAAAAACCCAAAGTAAAATATATTATTACTAACTTAACTTTAGCATATATATAGGTCCTAGACTAACAAAAGGGATTAAAACTTTTTGTTATTGTTGTTCATAAACCTCCCCTTTAAACTGTATTTTATTGGTTTAGAAGGATACTGTAGATATCATGAAGGGAACAATTACACTATATAAACTTGACGGAGCGAAAGAATTCAAGTGGGTTATGCATGCCATAAGGATTTATGAAAGCCTGCTTTACAATTTACCAGCATATCCATAGAATGTAGAAAAATGGATAAATGACAGTTCTCAAAAGGGCTGAAGGGACATATTAGAAAGCTTTAATGTGATATGGGAAGATATAATTAGAGGGATTATTTAAATTGGACAGAATAGCTGGATAATTAAGTCATGAAATTAAGAAAGAACAAATCTGAGAAATGATCTGAGGATAGATGAAGAGCAGATTATAAAAATATTAGAAAAAATATAAAAAGGGAATCACATCTATGTAAACTACAGCAGCTTTCATTAGTAAAGAATAATAAATATTTAAATTTTTATGTAATAAGTAGATTTTGTCACTGTCCGTTTTCTGTGGATTTCCTTTTGTTTCATGGCATATATTTGTACCAAGTTCAAGAGAAAGGAAGCTATTATTTTGGTGCTGAACATCTAATTAGTCAACATTTTTCTTAGAGGCTTCGGCTATCAGATTTTTGAAGTGACTGTACATTTGACTTTGTGTTGTTTTCAACTTTGATTCTGGGATAATTTTCTACTTCTGAGAATACACGAATCAGATTATGCAAAATATGGCACAGGAGAGACAAGTGAGCTAAGAGTCTGATTTTTCTGCTTCTGTCTTTAAATAGATATACTCTTTACGTCTCATCTGTAAAATGAATTTCAATGATATGATCTCCATGATCCTTTCCAGGACTAAAATTACTAAACACTATGATGTTTTGAAAAAAAAAATCCCAAAATCTCATCTGGAAAAATAATTACTAGTTTTGCAAATGTCTAGAATTTGAATTAGAGAATTGTCCTAAAATTCACCCAAACTGGTTAAGAATACTTCCTTTTCAGTGTATATCTTTCTTTTCATAATTAATTATACAGAAAGTGTATTTATGAATATTTAATGGATTTTAAGCCAGAAACATGTTCATTATTGACTAGTACATATTAAGGCTATCACACCATAGCAGCATACTCAGAATCCTCAAAAGATGCCATGAACACATTTCTCTCTCCAGTTCTCTGTACACATATTATTACTTTCTTTCCATGAAATACCCTCCTCAGCCCTTCTTTTCTCCTTTGTCTAAATGCTTTGTCAAATTCTAGCCTAATTCAAGCCTTCTTCTGGAGTCGTTCTTTCTCACTCAAACCCACAGTGATCTTTCCCACCTGTGAAATATCTCCATAAAACAGATCTGCCATTTAGCTTTTGATACTTTACGTTGTTATTCAAAAGTACTTCACAGCAAGCATCACGGCATGTCTATAAAGCATATGTTTAATAACTCAAATTGAAAACTGAGGCAATTATGAAATCCTTTATCACTTCCCTAAGACTGACTCATAAAACGATTATATCAAAATGTACCTGGGTAACTATTCACCTGATTTTAAAACCCACACTCAGAGATTCTGATTGAGTTGCATATGATGTAGGACTTAGAAGCCACAGAGTTGCTGAAAACCATCTCTTATAATCAACGATCTACTGGCCGTGCATGGGGGTTTGCACTTGTAATCTCAGCTACTCAGGAGGCTGACGCAGGAAAATTGTGTGAACCTGGGAGATAGAGGCTGGGATGAGCAGAGATCATGCCACTGCACTCCAGCCCGGGTGAGAAAGCGAGACTCCCTCAAAAAAAAAAAAAAAAAAAAAACTGGCACATCTTTTATTCCAAACACATGAGCCGAATTAAATACTACTCTGTTCACATATTTGCTGGTTTTATATTTTATAGGTGTTTGTCATTGTATTTGACTTCTTTTGGATGTGCCTAAGAAACAGGTAATTAATTTACATTCAGTGGGCTCTTTGAATAGCTCCAACACAAGGTGGTGAAGGAGATACCTTCAAGGACTCCAGAGGGTGGACTGGCCTGGCAGTTCTAAAATCAGACACCCCATCCTGGGGAGTAAAAAACCTAGCCAATCATTCTCTTCCTCTTAGACAAGAAAATTCACAAAATCATGTTGAGAGAGTGAGACCAGTAGCATGGGTAGAAGCCAAAGGGACAGAGAAGGGTCCAATTAGCTGAAGAGAACAGTACAAGGAAATTATTCAGTGATAATAGTGGAAGAACTGTAGCAAGGGATTAATCATTGAGTTATCTCTGAAACAATGGATTTCTGTTGCTGAATGACCTATTTTCTGAACTTTTCCAACATCTGTGAGATCTAGCTGCGTGGCAACTAGGTTTTTAATTGTCTTCCTTGCTTCTCCATATATCTTTCCTATCAACCTCCTATTATCTAAAATAGCCTGATTGCCTTTTGGCTACTTGAATCTAAAATTGCCTAAAAGGGCAGCCAAACTCTGTTTAGCTTCTTTAGGTCAATCTGGTAAACCCACACAATAGCACAGCAAATGACAGAGCACTCTGAAGAGCTGTTACAGCAGCCAGAGGCCTGCCTGCCATTTCTCTACACTGCATGCCACACTGTTTAGCACACCTGGTTTCCCAAGCTGCTTTGAGAGGCTCTCTTCTGATTCTATTTCTTGGCAACTCCTTCTTACTGGTTTTCATCTTAACTATGTCAAATTTAATATTCACAAACCACTCTAAGGCATAATTTACATCTCTGACTTCTTACAAGAGTTTCATCTATATTTCTAGCCTTATGAGGTCTGCTAAAGGCAAATCTATCTCATGTTAGGCTGGTGGGGAGTTGACAGGAGTGTGGGACTGGTTACATAATAAGAGTGCTCAAATGCCACATTCACACAGAAATAAAATTAGAGGCAGGTACTCTGGTTCAGATGCATTTACTATTCACATCTATGCGACCAAGGATATGTATTTTGAAATACGTATCCTTGGTGGCATAGATCTGAATAGTAATTCTTCCCAGGTAATTTCTATGTCCAACCTTGGTTAAAAACAATAAAAACCCAGAGCATTGGAGACTTATTATACTAAATGACTGTTACTTGGAAAAAAAAGTACAAACTTGAAAACTCTTCATATTGTAACAAAAAATAGTGCTGTCAAATGTAACATTATAAAAAACTAGTAAAACTTACTTTTTTCCACTTTTCCTAGTCATTATATTGCTGAGTCAGATAGGGAATGATATTCTGGTATCATTACATGCTCTGATATACAAGAAAAGTTAGAATTTGCCTTTTACCCCTGTCAACTAAAAAGAACTTAAGAATCTCACAATATAACTTACTATACAGTTTACCATTTTATAAAAAGAGATACAACATTTCCTTTAATATTTTAAGTGCTATAGATAGAAATGTTTTAATTTTTAAGTGTTTTCACATCCTAGATAATTTTTATTTTTCTTAATTTACAGCTTCCAGTATATAACATATGTTAAACTGAGTATCAATCATACAGAACCACAATTCTCCTTCCTAGAGCAGGGCAAAATTTAAAAAAAAAAAAAAAAAAAAAAAAAAACACTTCATCTTTATGGGGCATTATTTATTCTTGGATTTGATTCATTTATTTCACATCATCCAAACGAAAACTGGCCAGCTAACTAATGTCAAGAATAAAATGAAAAAACTGAAGACTCTGCTTGCCTCTCTCACAACTCTTGCTACCGTCAGAACTGATACTTTTAAAAATTTACACTGCAGGCAGGGTGTCAGGTGATGTTCCTACAAGCTGAATCTGATACCCACAATTCTTCCATTCCTTTAGTATATTTATTTGTAATGGGTGTGGAAAGAAGAGAATTGGAAATGTGGCCATATATGAAAATAGAGAGATGGGATTGAAGAGTCTTATTCTTCTATTATCCCATAGTTAAATCTCACTTCTATGGGATTAGTTTTGTCCCTGATTAAGCTATATATTGTTGCTATGATCGGTGTAGAAGCGTTCTAAAAATGTCCACTGTTTATAGGTGGAAGAAATGCATGCTATAGGGAGCTTTTATTTTCTATCAACATAGCACTGGTTATACTACCTAAGCACAATCCTCAAAATCTCTGAAAAAGGAAATACACAGCTTCTGCTCATTAGAGAAAGATGAGCTAAGCTAAAAGAAGGACTCCCAAGAGAAAACGAAGCAGTTATTTAAGAAAACTTAAGGGAGGAAAAAGCACACGAATGAATATAGGCCTAATTCATAAACTGTACAACTGTAATCTGGCACATCTAATGTAGTGTGCTTTAGTGAAAGTATGGTTTGAATTTTCAGTATCTTTTCATCTCCAATTATGACAATTTACTCGTTACAGTGATTTTAGTGACCAGAGATTATTCTATCATTTAATTTTTCCCTTTCATGTTGGCTCTTATTTTGCAAAGTGAAAATGTTGTAGAATTTAAAATGCAAAGTTTATCAGACAACGAACACTGGATTATATGACAAAACAATCTTGCAAATAAAGTCAAAATCATAATTATACAAACTAAGAAAAAATTTTGAAGTCCTCAAAATGAGCTTAAACTTCATTTGTTATATGTACGTATGAAAATATGAGTGTCTAAAAAGAAACTGTACCTGTTGGGGAACAAGAACTATACCTTATATCTCCATGTTGTAGTTTACCATGCTGAACACATGGCAGGTGCTCAAAAACTTAATGGAATTTAAAAATCACACAGCAAGTAAGCTACTTGACATTAATCCTTAATTATATATTAACCACTAAAATTCTGTTCTATTAGGTTAAGAATAAAAACATTCATGTTAGTATAAAGATATTACCTATAAGGATAGCCGTGGTACTTGGAACGAAATATTGAAAGTAGAAAACTGAAGAAGAAGACCACCAGGCCCAATCCCACTAGGCAAATTACTAGAAACAGACAGAAAATACCATTAGTGTCTAAAAATATGCAAATGAAACCCCAATTGTTTATAGTTTTAAATGCATTCAGTTATAGTATACTTACATTTAATACTTCATGCCACATACAGGTACAACAAACCAGATTATCCACAATACAATGTGTTCATTCTTCTCAATGAAAATGTACTATTTGGGGTATGAAAACAACAAAATTGACTGATCTAAGTCTTATGGAGGTTTTCTTCTCTTATAGAGTTCCTACAGGTACTAACATGCCCCAGAGTGATCAAAACAAAACACGTTATAAACCACACACAAGATTATTGGCCCTTGCATTATGAAGCATTGGGTATATTAGCAGGAACATTTGCATTATTAGAATGGTTAATATAATTTTAATCTTTTCAAATGCTATGCAGTAATTTTAGGTTTTCAGTTAGTATTGCCTTAGTAAGAGCATGTTATAGAAAGAGTTCATCCTAATGTACAAAAGGCTAGGAATAAAAACTTGCAGGGAGAAAACCCCCTCAATAGCAAAATGTTGTTAGTCTTAAAATAGTGGCAAAATGTTGTTAGTCTTAAAAAGAAACAGGGAGCATATGTTACAGTCCAATTTTCAATATTTCTGTCGCAGGAAAGCTGACAATAGGAAAAGTACTTTTTTATTTCCTCATTTCCTCTTTATTATGATTAAGAAGATTTTACTCTAAAGTAGATGAGTAATAAAATGTTCCTTTTGCATATATATTTTGGATATGTCATTAAATAATTCAAGTCAATTATTAGTAAAATAAACCTAAACATGTAAAATTGAAATGCTTAAATATTTGAGCCAATTAAAGTACATTTAGAGTAAAAGAAGGCAACTATATTTAATGTCTTATGAAATATCTAAACATCTTTTAAGAACATATAATTTGCACAATATACCTTTTATTCATTTCAGAGAATTCTACACAATTTGAATAATATTTGAAATTATTTGTGAAAGAAAAAAGATTAAAAACACTAACAGCAGAAGAAAATAAGGAAAATCAAACACATCTATATGATTCCGTAATACGATTTTTAAAAATTTTTGCCAACATACAAATGAAACCAAGTTTAACTGCAGTTCTGGAAATCATGGAGTAAGTACGTAAGGAATGGCTTTGTCAAAATATGGTCTGCAAATGTGTCAGTCAGTTTTTATGCAACTTCGCAGGAATATCATCTTTCAGGTTTTTAATATAAATTGTGAAACATGACGAGCATTTAATAGCATCCAAGTGTAGCCTCTAACATTTCATTTCAGACAACACTCACACAGCTAAACTTCAAATGAATATTGGCAGAAAATAAAGCAAAAAATGAGTTTGTGAATATTACTTTGAAAATTATAGAATATCCCCATATGACAGACACCAGGACCTAGATACAACGTATTAACAACTTTGCTTATGACAATCTTATTAAACCTATAATTAATTACAAAATGATTTTTACCTCCCCAAATCTGGCATTTTATCTAACATTCCTTTTTTTTCCATATATCTCCTTTTTTTATTTTTCAGAAGAATGGAGCACTCTTTTCATTCCCTTTGTTCCTTTTTAGTAGCCCCCACTGGGTTGTGCTTTATGGAAAATGAGGCTCCAAATATGGGATCAAGTAAGACGGAAGATATTTACTTGATCCTATGCAGTGGGACAAAATAATGCTACTCAAGTACTTGCTTATGGGAAAGGAGAACTGAACGTAGTGAGGGGTTAGTAATTATTAAAGGAACCATGGCAGCCATATGAGATACTACACCTGTGAAAAGAAAACGCCATGATGAAATGGAAGCATCCTAAACCTGGGAAACACTAATCATAGTAGTTGTGCCTCATCAAAACCAAAATCACATCAGAAAGGAATACTTAAAAAATTTTTAAATATACTTTCCAGCTTGCTCTCATACACACACATAACATGAATAAACAATTTGGGGGTGGTTGGGAGCTGGAGTTAGAGAAACATCTACAAAGAGGGAAGTTGGAAATAGTAATTTAATTCAGTATCATATTATCATAATAAATGTAAGATTTTAAAATGTCTACACGTTTCTTACTATTATGTACTTTTATAAGACAGGACATACAATAAACAAAGTTAAGACTATGTCCTCCACATAGACCAGTGGAACAGAATAGAGAACCCAGTAATAAAGCTGCACACCCACAATCATCTGATCGTCAACCACACAGACAAAAGCAATGGGGAAAGGATTCCCTATTCCATAAATGCTGCTGGGACAACAGGCTAGCCATATGCATGAGAATGAAACTTGGCCCCTACCATTTACCATATATAAAAATTAAGATGCATTAAAGACTTAAATAAAAGGCCTAAAACTTTAAAAATTCTAGAACATAGGAAATACCTTTTTCAACACTGACCTTGGCAAACAATTTTTTTAATTAAGTTTCCAAAAGCAATTGCAAACACAAATCGGCAGATGGGACTGATTAATGCGCCTCTGTACAACAAAATAACTAGACAGAGTACATAACCTACAGAATGAGAGAAAATTTTTGCTAGCTATGTGTATCTGACAAACATCTAGCATCCAAAATCTACAGGTAACATAAATCCACAAGCAAAAAAGCAACCCCAATAAAAAGTGGAAAAAACGTATGAACAGGTATTTCTTTTTTTTTTTTTTTTTGACGGAGTTTCGCTCTTGTTACCCAGGCTGGAGTGCAATGGCGCGATCTCAGCTCACCGCAACCTCCACCTCCCGGTTCAGGCAATTCTCCTGCCCCAGCCTCCTGAGTTGCTGGGATTACAGGCATGCGCCACCATGCCCAGCTAATTTTTTGTATTTTTAGTAGAGACGGGGTTTCACCATGTTGACCAGGATGGTCTCGATCTCATGACCTCGTGATCCACCCGCCTCGGCCTCCCACAGTGCTGGGATTACAGGCTTGAGCCACCGCGCCCAGCCATGAACAGGTATTTCTTAAAAGGAGACATACAAGTGGCCAATAAACATGAAAAAATGTTCATTATCACTACTCAGCAGAGAAATGCAAATCAAAACCAAATGAGATACTATCTCACACCAGTCGGAATGTCTATGATTAAAGAGTCAAACAGCAGATACTAGTGAGGAAGGGGAGAACAAGGGATACTTACACACTGTTGGCGGGAATGTAAATTAGAGCAGCTACTGCAGAAAGCAGTTTCAGGATTCCTCAAAAAACTTAAGACAGAGCTATCTTCGACCCAGGAATCCTCTTACTGATTGTAAACCCAAAGAAAAATAAATAATTCTACTATAAAGACATACGCACGCTATGTTCACTGCAGTCCTATGCACAACAGCAAATACATGCAATCAACCTGAGCTGATTCCACAGTACATATATACCACATCAATGATGGATTAGATAAAGAAAATGTGGTATATATACACCATGGAATACTATGCAGCCATAAAAAAAACAACAATATTGTGTCCTTTACAATCAACATGAATGCAGCTGGAGACCATTATCCTAAGTAAAGTAACACAAACAGAAAACCCAATACCACATGTTGTCACTTGTAAGTGGGAGCTAAACATTACATACATGTGAACATAAAGATGAGAACAGACATGACTAGAGTGGGGATCGAGGTAGTCTCTCAGTGTACAACACGTATTGGGTACTATGGTCACTACTTGGGTGATGGGATCCATACCCAAACCTCAGCATCATCCAACATACCCATGTAACAAACATATACATGTACCCCCAAATCTAAAATAAAAGTTGAAATTAAGAGTATGTTCTCATAGGCATACTTTGTCAATCCCCAAAATATCATAATGTTAATTCAAAAGATAAAAAAAATAAAATTCAACATCAATAAAGTAATGTGCTCATTTCTTTTGTCACTTCTTTAAAACAATGTATAGACAATACCATAAGAAAAGAGGGCAATCTAAACTGCGTATTACATCAAAAACATTTCAACCCTTAAGACTTCTAAGTATTCAGAGAGCACTATGATTTGTTTACATACATGTTGCACTAGCTAAAAACCCATAAACTAAGTCTGACTTTTATTTTAAATATCTTAATCAATAGTCTTTTTCAGACACCTATGTTGGTCATACATAAATTGTGAATTTTAAAGAGTTCAGACATGCAAAGGACAGAAAATTATAGGTTTGTGGACATATCAAATCATACAGGGACTTGATATTAATTATAAAAGGGTTTCTGACAGGAAACATCGACTGTCCTTTTTTAACCTACGCTCCCCAGAGCATATTTTCCCTATGTATTCTTTTCTTCTTGCTAGCAAAATCTTTACTTCTCAAAAACTACATGTTTTTCCACAACTCTGAGAGGAACAGTCCCATCAAAGAAAAACAACACAATTAACTTGCTTAAAAACATAATGCTAGAGAACTTGATAGAGGCATAAATCTTGGTTTATCAGTGGAAAGGCAAAGAGCCTGGAAAAGATTATATCAATAGATGTCCTTTTAAAAATGTAAAAGGAGGCTCTGGAACGAGTGGTAAGGTACTATCTCAGCGTAGAAAACCTATGCAAAAGCTTCTCCATCAGAGTCAGGCTTTGAGTGCATACCCTATTCTTGTGGCAGAGGTAATGTTATATGCCAATAAAATCTCTGAATATTCTGCCCACAAAATTTTCCATCTCTCTATCCGGGATGGAATTACAACAAACACTATGGCTTCAGCATGGATGGATTAGAGCACCCCAGAAAAGGGTGAAGGACAGCTCCACTTTCTATGCCATTCCACAGAAAATCACCCAGTCCTCTTTTGGAAGACATATTTTCAAGTATATGAACACATCCCAGAAATAGAAACAAGTTAAAAATCTGAACTTCTGCAAACCAGAACTTTTCTTTAAAAGTTTATGTTTACAAAGGGCTTTGATGTATTTCCCATTTGACTTAAATGAATCTTAAGACTGAAACGAAATTACAAAAATGTCAACACAGAGACTTACTCCGTCTTTTTCCAACATCTCCTTTGGAAGTTGCTGCTTCATTTAGAAGAACCATCCCCATGGTGATAGCAGCATCTGCAGTAGTTGTCAAGGAAGCCGTAGAAATAGATGAGTAAAATCTATTAATTTTTCTGGGTCTGAACACAATGCTCCAAAATGGTTAAATTACAAATGCACACAAAGGTAAATACAATGAATTATCTTTATATAACATAAAATCACCATTTGGATAAGCACATATGCCTTAATTTTTAAAATTTATAAACTGAAACTTCAATTTGCGAGATACTGAGAGGCTAAATCTAACGGCTCTTAAATTCCAGGATTTTCACAGAACATATAAACTATAAGGACTCTCAAAACCGGTTACAACATTTCACATTATACATAAAGATATGCACTGCTTACAGACATGGTGACACATTTCATTTTCGTAGTGTGTGTGTGTGTACATAGCTTTTTTCTAAATGCGTTTTTTCATCAGTTTTGTTTAGTTGAAATCTTTATGAAGGTCAGGTATGTCACTGGAAAATCTGGGGGTATACAATTAAAAGTCTTACCAACGCAAACAAGCTTATTTTAATAAAATAATTTAATGAATCTAGCAGAACCCTGAGCTAGTCAGCTAACTGATACTTTAAGAATGAGATCACAAAATTACTTTTGTATTTTATACCTGCTTGCAATACGATGGCTGTATTCATGTTAGGCTGAATAATGCTAGAATTAAGAGAATGATGGGAAATTTTCATCTTCATAAAAAATTCTTTGCCATGTTTTATAATATTTTTGACATTGTCTACTCTTAAGACTTAGAACTCAATTCTGAAAATATATTATGTGTTTTGCCCAAAGATTCACAGATTAAAAATTGAAGAGAAAAATAAAACAATTCTAGGCCAGAACTCTACAATTTGCTTAATTTCATTATGATTCCCTTGTATTCATTTCTACTGCTATTTGTGTATAAACAGCATCAGTAAATCTCCTGTGCAGGATGATACCACTAACAAAAGCTCAAAGGATAACATTGGGCAATGTCTATACGATCAAGTGGAGGAGGTCAGAGAAAATTTTGCAGAGAACATTACCTCTCTGAGTCATGTTTTTAGACCCAAATGATTGAAATTCTGATTAATAAATTGTAATGTTCATATTCAAGTCTGTCTTCGTGACCATATTATCCAACTTCTGAATAATAATACATGCCTGGCTTCTCTCGTTAGGCATTTATGCTTCCATGACCTCTATATACAAATGTTTTTCAAATTATTTGTTTTACCATTGGAACCCTTTCTGGAAAAAAAATCATGAACAACCTATATTTGGAAGCCTAATGTATACAAGAGAAAAAGCCCCTGCCACCCTGCACAATGTCAACCCTCACCACCATACACATACATACCATATACTAGCACTAAACTTTTAGAGATTTGTGCTATACAGCTTAAAAAACACTGAAATTTTTATGAAATTCCTGGGTTTCAATCTTGTAGCAGTGGCCTGAAAAGAATATTGTTAAGAGAATGACTGTTTGGTATTACCAGTATGATAGTCTATAGGCTGTAAATTAGATTCATCATTCTTAACGTGTTTTGGACTGTCTACTTGTATACATTACCGCAAATCCATAAACACTGGACATTGATAATAACACATTTAATTAAAAACTTGTTTCACTAAAACGGTTCATGTGTAGATTTCTACTGCTTAAAACTCAGTTTTCTGGAACAGACAGATGTGACTGATTTGGATCCTTAACAAGGAGTTACTAAAAGTTTCCCCTTTAATAATTTTTTCTGCAGTACCTTTTATATTCATGTAAAAATTTTTATCTACACGTTTAAATATACATATTTAATCTGCTGACAATTCAAACAGAATTGCAGATTATTTTACTATGACTTTTTTATTTTTATTTTTTGAGAGAGTTTCACTTTGTAGCCCAGGCTGCAGAGCAGTGGTATGATCTTGACTCACTGCAACCTCTGCCTACTGGGTTAAAGCGATTCTCATTGCTCAGTGTCCTAAGTGGCTGGAATTACAGGGGCACACCACCATACCCAGACAATTTCTGTATTTTAGTAGAGATGGGGTTGCAGCATGTTGGCCAGGCTGGTCTTGAACTCCTGGTCTCAAGTGATCTGCCAGCCTTGGTCTCCCAAAGCGCTGGGATTACAGTTGTGAGACACCACGCCTGGCTACTATGACACTTAAATATTCCAAACATAAATGGCATTTAAGATGAAATTTTGTAGATATTAAAAGTAAAACATATATTCATTTAATGATTCCATCTGCTGAGCAGCTTCTTCAGTTCCATTAATGAATCATGGGGGAAATGGCAGTATTTCTATTAACTGGGGAAAATAAAGCTTACAAAATAAAATGTATGACAGTTTTAATAGTAGTAAAGCCATATTTTAATATGTTCTTAGGGTCAAATTTTATACACAAGTGCACATGTACACAAATACATATATATCTGTTTGTAAAACACAAAGACTTTTGTGTTTAACGAAACAAAATTGTTATTAGAAAAGCGAAAAGTATATTTTATTGGGCACTACATTTGGTCACCAAAGTGTAACATATCCCTATAAATGTATCTTCATATCATTTTTACTACTCTCCTTCTGTATTGCTACAATGTTGAAAACTATGAGTAACCTGCTTCTCATTTCAACTGCTTAAATTCAAACAATGTAGTAACAGAAAATTATGTAAATAATTTTTGTAAGAGTATATCATATTTTATTGCTTTATCTTATTGATAACATTTGTTTCCAAATGCTTGCTACTAGAAATATTCCTGCAAAGAATATATTTTTACAGGTTTCCTAGAGTATATGTGCAATATTTTCTCTATGGTTTATAACCAGAAGTGGAATTTTTGAGAGGTTCAGTAAGTGTATTTTCAAAGTTGTTAGGTACAATCATACTGTTCTCTCAAATGAGCAATGTAAGTTTCCATTTTTCTTAATTTCACTAACGCAATACTGCCAAATTATTTTTATCAAACTGGTAAGGAAAAAAATTGTATCAATAGCAACCCACTTGGTTCTAAGCATCTTTTGATATGTTAATTCTGCTTTATTTGGTTTAATCTTCAGTACACTACCCCCTTCCCCCCCCCCACCTTGTTACAAAAGCACAGTTGCTTAATTTTATCAGCTTCGAAACATTTTTTTTTTTTTTTTGGTAGATATGAATTGCCTAAAGTACTGTATACCGACTCTCCTACTTTATAGTTTGTGTTTTAAATTGTTTTGTCATATAGAAAGCTCTAATTTTAATGTGGCCAAATTTATTCATCTTTCCCATTATGAGTTTTAGTGGTTGTTTCTTAAACCCTCCTTCTAGGTCTTAAAAAGGTTCTCTGGCCTTTTCTTTTAATACCTTCAAAGCAATTTGGGTAATAAGGAAATCTGTGAACTTGTTATTCCCACTGCCTGAAGTACTTTTTCCTGGGGTGCTCATGTAATTTACTCCCTCACTTCTACTAGGTCTCTTTTCAAATGCAATCTTGTCAGAGAAGCCTACTCTCATCTTTATTCTGATTTTTTTTTTCTATAACATGGTTTTTTTAAAGAAATTGCAGATCGTATACATTTTTTAATTTACTTATTGTCTTTCTTCTGGCACTACAATTTTAGCTCCAAAAGGGCAAGAAGTTTGTTTTGTTCACAATCTTACTCAGTCCCAACAACTCTTTGATGTACATATTATCACCTGTTTACAAATAAGGAAACTGAAGCCCAGAGAAGTTTAAACAACTAGCTCAAAGCCACAGAACTACAGAATGAAAGATGCAAAATAAAAAAGCACAAAAGTAATGAGGTAAAATATTAGGCTTAGATAAAAATGATAACCAAGTGTTGGGCAAAGAACATAACTGGTAGCCCGATTTCAGCATGAAATATCTTTATGCTAAGCATAAAAATCTTTTTTTAGAAAGTATAGAACATTCAAATATCTTTTACTTCTCCATAAACATATTCCAGTTTTTACAAATAAGTTTGCAAATCACTCACAAAATTGCCATATCAAACATGTCTACCTGGATTGTGATTTTACCTTTACATCACTTACGTTTCTGCTTTAAATCACATTGTTATAATTTACTATTTTTGTTGGGAGCAAATGCAGTAACAGTGTAGCATTTTTCAAATTATATGATTTAAAAAATATGCAAACTCCCAATTATAAGGCAGAAAGAGAATAGAAACCCCAAGTCTAACAAAAGTTTTAAGGTTTCAGCATGTCAAAAACCTCAGCAAATCATCAATTATCATGAATTGCATGTGCCAGAAGTATGCCATCAACTCCACTCCTCTAAAGCTATTCCCAAATAAGGAAAAATATAAAATACTAAAAAAATTTTACATACATACAAAAATCTAATTTAGAATACTTTTATATAGTGAAAAATTAAAATGTAAATGTCCAACTATAACATATGGGACATTTTTGTGATAGGTTAAGTAGCCATATAAAATGAAGTTGACAAAAATTCTTAATAACAAAAACAAGATATATTAATTTCCTGACCATACCAAATGAAAAGATGTATACGTATGTATAAAAGTATGTACAAAACCTCAACTCCTTTAAAATAAATGCAGAGAAATGACTGCAGGGAATAAAAGGTAAAAACAGTAACTGGGCTGGGTGTGGTGGCTCATGCCCATAATCTCAACATTTTGGGAGGGTGAGATGAGGGGATCATGAGGTCAGGAGTTCAAGGCCAGCCTGGCCAAGATGCTGCAACCCTGTCTCTACTAAAAATACAAAAATTAGCCAGGCATGGCAGCATGCACATGTAATCTCAGCTACTTGGGAGGCTGAGACAGAAGAATCACTTGAACCCTGGAGGGGGAGGTTGCAGTGAGCTGAGATCACACCACTGCACTCCAGCCTGAAAGAATCAGCAAGACTCCAACTCAAAAACAAAACAAAACAAAAAAGTAACTGTTCATGAGTGGGTTAATAAAACTGTGAACTTTTGTTTTCTTCATTGACCACAGCCTACAGAGCAGAAATTGGCTAAGTTTTTCAGTAAAGGGTTACAAAGT